TCCCCGCGCCCCCACCGCTGCGTCCCTCGGGCTCTTTCACCCGAGCCGTGGGCGCGGGACGAGGCGCAGCGGGGGTGCGGGCTCTGACCCGCAGGCCCCGCCGCGGGCAACGCGGCCCGTGCTGGGAGGCCCCTCGCACGGGCCGAGCCTCGTGGTCGACGCCAGGACGGCAGCACGGGGCAGGGCTTGCTCAGCCGCGGGGCTTGGCACTGCGGTCCCGGCGCCTCTCGCAGCAGATGGGGAAGGAGCCACCAGTGCTGCTCAGGGGAGGGATTCGGCCACGGCACCGAGCCCGGGGCAGGGAATTCAAACGTGAGTTTTAACAAATGCACTGGTCCAGGCAGGCAGCTGTGGCTCCAGCACCGGCAGCGCTCTGCGTGGCTGCAGCCTCTGTCCCAGGGCTGCTGCTGCTCCATGCTGCAGGGTCTCAGAGTGGAGGGACTTTCCCTTCCCTGGGACTGGAGGAAGTGCTGAGGAGCCGGCCCCTTCCTGTCCATGCCCCTCACCTGGGAGAAGTCCGGGTCCCAGTCCCCCAGCAGTGGCTGTAGCCCAGGCTGGTGGGATTCAGGCACTGGGGTAATCCTGCGGGCTCCTGATGGCCAAGCTGTCAGTGAGACAAGAGAATAAGAGGTGAGGAAGGTTCTGGGTGGGGACAGGTGATGCTTAGGGTAAACACACATTGCTGGTGAGGTGAGGAGGAGGTGAGGAAAAGGCGACAGCAGCCTGTGAATGGCTGAAGAAAGTGATCCAGGGCCTGCTACCCGTGGCAAAAACCCACAAGAAGTGGGACCCATGCACATGAAGGGCACACTCAAGGAGGTGATGGGGGCCTGGGACCCCAAAATCCTCCCTGATCTGTAAACCAGCTTGTTCAGGCTGAAGGCTGCAGAGGACAGAGAGAGCCAGCCTCTGCTCCTTAAGGGAGGACTTCTCCATCCCACTGCAGGGAACCAATTCATCCCTGTGGCCCCCCATTCTCACGGTCACCCAAAAGTTAGGCCCCTCTCGGCCCTGTGCCTTTATTGAGAACTGCTCCCGGAGCACGCAACCCTCAGCTTCCCTCCCCTGCTCTTCACCCACATGAGGAGGAAGGTGGGTGCATCCCCTGAGCCCTGTGGACAAGGAGGGAGAAGAGTCCTGGCCTGGCAGTCCCAGGGGTTTGTGACCCCTCCAAAGGGACAGCTCTCCCTCAGGGAAGCAGCAGCAGTGATACCCTGTCCCTCCCTGTCCCTGCACCCCACCACTAGCTGCCCTGGCACGACCCCTGCCAGGGTGGTTGGACATCAGCTCCCACAAACCTGGGGCCAACGCAGCTGAAACCAGCATAGAGCAGTGCTGGTGTGGGGAAACCACCATGGAGCGGCCCCACATCAGCTCACAAAGAATTTCTTTAACGTACTTAAAGGCTAAACACTGTGTGAGAATACGCCTCTGCAGGCTCCAAGCTGGAGCTGGAGGCCAGGCCTCTTTGAAGCTGGGCATGTGCCTCCTGTACCCAGAGCTGCAGGATGGTGCTGGACAGGGTCCATCAGCTCCAGCTCCTGGTTCAGCCCTGCCCCAGTAGCCCCCAGAGCACCCAGCAAGGTATGCTTACCTGTGCATACCTTCGAAACAGGCTGAGCCCTGACCCTCTGTGTCTACTCCCCCAGCAGCGGGTCCAGCTCGTTTGGATCTGAGTCCCGTGGCGGAGCGTCCGTCCCACGATGTCCTGGGAAGAGGAGGAGATGTGGGACTGGTATGGGAAAAATGTGCCCTCTCTTACAGGAATTATGTGTCACAACAGCTCGCACATCCCCCTTCTCCCTGCAGTGCTGCTGTACCCAGCTGTGGCATCCATGGGACACGGCTGCCACCAGAGCAGAGCCACGGGGGCAGAGCCACTGGGACACAGCAAGACTGTTTACAGGAGAGCTCGGTGCTCTCTGGTGAAGAGGGGAGGAGGGAGGGGAGCCTGCAGCCTCAGGCCCATCACAGGGGTGGCTGCATTGTTCTAAATCAGGATAACGAGGCACTTCCGCAGCCCCTTTCCTATGGGAATCCCAACAGGTTGTTGTCTTCCCCCTGTACGAGTGGAAGTGCGGCACCGGGGGATGGAACAACTCATGTCAGACAGCAGTGGGGAGGGAGGAGGGGAGCCTGGAGCAGGCACAGGGCAGTAAAGCAAGTCCACAGCCTGCCCTGAGCTCCTCCTGGAGCAGCTCCACATCTCCTGCCTCCATCTGCCCTCAGAGCCTTTCCCAGCCATGGGCTCCTGCCTCCATCCTTCCCTTCTGTGGCAGCAAAGCACAAGGTACCTCCCAAGAATGGGAAGAGAGGCAGCTCCTGCCCTGCAATGTAGCAACAAAAGCAAAAGGGGACATTGCTGGGAGACCATCACAGCTGCGAGACCCAAGGTAATTTCCTTTCTCACAGAAATCAACTCAGGATCCGTGGACTTGGCTCGGGAGGCACAGGGAAGATGTGACTTGTCCTGTGGGGAGGCCTCTTGCTACCAACTGCAGAGGCAGCCTGGAAAACCAGCACACCTCCAGCCTGAGATCTCTTCCCCTCCCCAGGGAATCCCACCAGGGGATAAACCCTGCCTGACATTCCCGGTCACTGAGTCACCCATGGCTCTGCCCAGCCACCAGCCAAGGACAAAGGACTGCCTGAGCCTCGGGTCACCAGCTCCGAGCACCTGGGGGTAGACAGAAAGAATCAGCATTACACAGCAGCAAGAGCCACAGGCACCTCAAATCCTCAGCCTCAGCCCTCAAATCCTGGCTGCAAACACCGGCCCTGGTGTGTAAAGAGAGGGTCAGTGGGACAAAAGGTGACTCTCTCCCAGGACACACTGGGCTGCCATGGGTGGATTCAGGCTGCAGGGCCACCTCTGGAGGACTTTGGGATCCACAGAGGACCCATGAGGCAGAGGAGTATCCGCCATGTTCCACCTGACAAGCACTTCCCATAGGCTGGGAGGTGGCATGGTGAGGGTGCCTCTGCCCTTTCAGGGACCTGTTTTGCACTGGGTGAGTGTAACCAGTGCCTCTGGAGCAGAGGCCTCACCCCTCCTGTCATCTGCCTGCTCGAGAGCCCACAGGGCCTCCAGACCCCTGTGATCCAAGGGGGTGCCTGGCAGCAACCGGCGCTCTGCTCCTCCTGCAGATAGGAACTGCCGCTGGCCCTGAGCATGTCCAAGGACAGGGACAGACCTGGGTCACTCACCATTTTATCACCCCTGCCTCTGGGGTGGCCACGGGAGAGGAAAGAGGATACAAAGGGGAGAAAGAGTTCAGCCGTGCTTTGGCATCCTCCGTGGGGTGGACAAGCAAATGCGGCTCCTTCCTCCACAGCTGGAGCGAGGTGAGCACCTTGGCCTCTGCTGCCAGGCCTCCTGCCAACCGGTGCTCAGCCCTTTGCAGCAGGCTGGCAGGCACCGGGCACCTCAGCCTGGGCTGGAGGGAACGGCTGTTCCTCCCAGCTTCACTTCTGGTCCCCGCTCAAGATATTAACTCCCTGTTCCCTCCCCTGCTGTGGCTGAGGCACCACGCAAAGTGTTTCGCAGCAGTGGGGGAGCCCGGATGCTCACCATGTCCTAGAGCCAGTTGTGACTCTTCTGTGGGCTTGAGGAGGTCTCTGCAGCTGAAGCTTCCCAGGGATGGGACCACAGGGATGGGACCGCAGGGTGCTTTTTCAGTGTCTGATCCATCTGCTCCTGAGGAGCTCGAGCTCTCCAAGTGGCAGTTTGTAATTCCAGAACATGGAGGGGCTGGGGGAGGAAACAGCTCCTTTTCTTCTATTTTTATGAGCATATGATAGCACTTTGATACCAAATTACTGATTTTGCTGTACCCCTTGGTATTTACAGCTGGGCTCCAAGCCACCAGAGGTCAGCAGAAAGGCTGCCACTAACTTCAGCAGCTGCTGGCCCAGACCCATCATCGGGCTCGCTTCTTTCTCAGTTTGCATCCATTCTGCGCACAACAAAACAAGAGGAAAACAAAAAAAAGCACCCAAAAAAGCACCCTCAGACGTCAAATGGGAGAAAACACATCTGGGACACGCGGAAACCTCAGGGGCTGAGACCGTGTTTGAGCACTTCGTAGGGTCATGATCCACGGTGCCACTGCACACTCCTGTCCTGCTGCAGCCCCCGAGGCCTCCGCTCGCGCTGGTTGTTTGCAGGAACCGCCGACAGCCGCAGGCAATGGGACTGCTGGAATCGCTGTCCCTGGGCATGCAGTGACTGACGCAGAGGGTTCCACAGTGGACGCGCTGTACCACGACAGAACGCTCCCAAGCCAGGCGGGCAGCACGGCCCGCACGCGGGCCGGGCAGGGCCGCGGAGCCGCCGCTTCACACCCGCGGTCAAACACCACCGCACGGCCCCGAGCCCGGGAGCCCCGCGCTGCGCTGACGGTGCCCGGAGCAGCGGAGCTCTGCCCCGCACCACGGCTCGGCCGCCCCGTGCTCCCCGCGCACCCGGCCCGCGGCTGCCTTTAGCGAAGTCCCCGGGGGAGGTCCCGGCCGCAGGCTCCGAACCGGGCAGGCCCCACGCCCGCACCGCCATGGCGGGGCCCCGCCTTGCTCAGCCCTTCCCGCCTGAGCCCCTCCGCGCCGCCATTGGCCAGCAGGGCGCGACGGGCGGGCGGGGTGAGCCAATGGCGGCGGCTGTTGCTGGGCGAGGCTGCGGGCGCGAGGCACGTGGGTGCTGTGAGGAGGCGGAGGAGGGGTCGCGGCCGCGTCCGCCCGGTTTTGGTCCCGGTCCGGCCCGGCCCCGGTCGTAGCGGCAGTTCCCACCCCCGCGGGCAGGTACGCGGCGGGAGGCGCCCTCCCGGCGCGAGCTGGGGGTTTCCTGGGTCCTGCGGCGGCGCCTCAGGCCGGAGCCTGGTTCCGGGCTCCAAACCCTCCCGGCCTGACCCCAAACTGGGCGCGTCCGGCGCCCTCTGGCGGCCGAGGGGGGCACTGCGCGGGGTGCACCGGGTCCCGCGCCCCGCTCCCGCACCCCGCTGCAGGTCCCAGCAGGGGAGGTGGGTGCTGATCCCTGTGCCCATCCCCGCAGGGCACCCATGGGCTCTCCGTCAGCTGCCCCGAGGCTGCTCTACCGCAGCACCCGCCTGCTCCGCACGGCCTTCCAGCAGCTCCACCAGCAGCAGCAGCGCGCCGATGTCTTCTGTGACGTAGTCCTGCAGGCTGAAGGTGAGCGGACAGCGCGGCCCATGGAGGCACCGTGGTCATTGGGGTACTGCCGGCAGGGTCCTGGGAACCCCCCCAGGAGGATCAGGGAGAGCAGGGTGGGCTGCAAGGCAGTGACAGCCGCTGTTCCTTCACAGGCGAGGCAGTGGTGGCCCATTGCTGCGTCCTCTCCGTCTGCAGCCCCTTCTTCATGGAGCAGCTGGGCCGGGAGCTGCCTCCCCGGGGCGGCAGGGTGGTGCTGGAGCTGGGGGGGCTGAAGATCAGGGTGCTGCGCAAGCTGGTGCGCTTCCTCTACACCGCCGAGCTGGACGCCACATGGGAGGAGGTGCAAGAGGTGTTGGCGGCCGCACGCCGCCTCCAGGTCACCGAGCTCGAGTCGCTGCAGCTCCAGGGGGGACGCCTGGTGAGGCCGGGACCCCAGCGGCAGCTCAACCGCTCCTGCCTGCGCTCCACCCGGCACTGCTCCCTGCCGGTGGCAGGCAGTAGCGCTGCGCCCGGTGGTACAGATAATCCCCATGGGAGCACCTGTGTCTCCCCACAAGAGAGTGCTGGTACACCCCCCCTGCACTCTCCAGAGCCCATGCACCGCAGCCCCGTGCAGCGGGTGAAGCTGCGGAAGGTGAAGAGTGGGGGGTGCTGGGAGGTGGTGCAGGAGAGGCAGCCCCCCAGCACCATGGCCACGGGCGATGGGGGGGTGATGGACCCCCAGCCCACCCTGGGTGCGGGTGCAGTGGGGCAGGTGGACAGGCGCTGCACACAGGCAGCCTGGAAGAAGCAGTGCCAGGGGTGCGCTGCACCCCAGCAGGGCTGCAGGCTAGTGCCACCGGAGGACCCCATGGGTGACCCTGAGGAGGAAGAGGTGGATGTGGGGATGCTGGAGCTGTGCCTGCCCCCAGGCACTGTCTGCATCTGGCCCTGCCCCTCGTCCGAGTCTGATGAGGAGGTGGATGTTCTCACCTAGGGAGGACAGCTGCTGCCCTCACCCCTGGCCTTGTGGTACTGAAATAAAGCATCAGAGCTGGCAGAGCAGCTGTGGGGCTTTATTGGGGAATGAGAAGGGGAAAAGAGGGATGCAGGAAGACAAAGCGGGATACAGGGGGAAAAAGAGGGACGCAGGGGAGAAAAGGGGGTAGGCAGGGGGATGCGGGGGAAGCCGGGGGGTCCAGCAGTGGCTGCTCACGGCAGAGCTGCAGCATCGGAGACAGGACTGGGGCTGGCAGTTGCCCCCCACTTGGTCTCGCCTCTTCATGGACGCTCTGCCGCGGGTACTGGTCCCAGCTTGGCTGCGGGGAGAGGGAGCTGCGTGTGATCCTCGTTGCCATCCCTGTGCTGTCCTGTCCCTGTGGTCACTCACCCAGCCGCCATCTTTATGCTAAGCTGCTTTTCAGGGCTTCCACCACGTCCTCCGGTTGGGGGAACTTCAGCTTGCGGGGAGGCCCCTTCCCAATGCCACTCCACAGCTCCACGGCTGGGGAAACGAGGGGACAGGTCAGGGGTGCCGGGACCGCCCCCCCCGCCCCGCGGCAGCCCTCCTGTTCCCGGCACTCACTGCTGCCGTCCTCCTTCACCAGGGACACCTCGAAGCTGTTTCTCCGCGGCTGCCGGGGGTTGATGTCCACGGCGAGGTGTGCCACGGCCCCGCGCAGGGCCGCGCTTACCGCCGCCGCGTTGCGCCCGAACACACGTCAGCTCTTGCTGGGGGGGGACACGGGGGTCAGAACCCGGGAGGGCACCCATGTACCCTCCCCCGCGGCCCGGCTCACCAGTGCTCGATGACGACGCGGGGACCGGTGCCCCCCGGGCTGCCCTCGCCCTGGCCGCGCCCCCGCTTTCGCGGGGCATCCGCTTGCTCCGGTGCCTCGGCCACCGCCGGCTGCTGGGCCCCGCGCTTCCTCCCGCGGGGAGCCATCCTAGGGAAAGCGCGGCGCCATGTGGCCGGGCAACCGGGGGTACCCGGGGTCCCGAGGAGCCTTCCACGGGAGGTGCGGGAGGTGGGGGGGAGCAGGGACCTACCACTGGGGTAGAGGGGGATCCCCACCGGGACCCTGACACGGGACGCAGAGAGGGGATCCCCGGTAACCCGCCCCTGTGTGAGGGTGAGAAGGGGGGGGCCCAAGGACCCCACTTTGGGGGAGCGGGAGGGAAGGAGGGCCCCGGGGCTGCCGCCGCGAGAACGGGGTAGGTGTGGGCGGGAGAGGACCCGGGACCGGGGGGGAGCGGGAAAAAGTCCCGTGGGCAGAAGGGGGGTCCCGGGTCCCGCAGCGGCCCCGCCGCCTCCTACCTGCCGCGCCGCGCTGACCACGTGCCGGGACCGCGGGCACCACGCCGGCCTGCGCCACTCGGCCGAGCCCCCTCGGGGGGGGGGGGGTAGCGGGAAGGGGCGGTCGGGGCCGAACGGCGCCCCGCGGGTCTGGGAATCGGGAAATGGGAACCGGGCCTCGGACCACCCCCCCCCCGCTCACGTCCCGCAGGAGCCGCTCGCTCTTACCGAAACCTCGGTGCCCAACCTCCCACCCCCCGCGCAGGCTCAGTGGTTCCGTCCGCGCTCCCGCCGCTCCCCCTCCTGCGGTGCAGCCTGCGCCGCAAGCGCCGACCAATCAGAGCGCGACGTGCTAGCGGCGGCCCCCGCCCCCGCGGCAAGCCCCGCCCCCCCCGGCACAGACACGGGCACCGGGACGAACCGTTTATTGTCAGCGATGAGATGCGCGTTCCCCGTCAGGGTCTGTCCCGCGGCCCCGCTGCTGGGCCCTGCTCGCCCCGGGCCCACCCGGGAGCTCCCTGCAGGCCCAACGCCGGGGCTGGTGCCACCAGGGTGACATGAGGAGGCGATGGGTGACAGCACAGTGCAGCCTCTACTTGTCTTTTTTGGCCTCACCATCGGGGTGCCCGGTGGGTGCCTGCCCCCCGGGGGGCTCCTCCTCCCGCGGCTTCGCCTGCTTCTTGGCCTTCTGGTAGAGCTCATTGAGGTTGAACTCCCGGATCACATTCTCCTGTGGCCGAGAGGCAGCGCTGGCACCCCCAGGACCTCCCTGCCCCCCTCAAGGGTGGCCAAGCCCCATCCTGTCCCAGAGGTGAGAGCCTGAGGCACATCCCACCCACCTCAGAGAAGGTCCAGGACACGGCCCGGCCCTTCTTGTCTATCTGAGGCCGGCGCATGGTCTCTGTCCCGCCCTGGAAGAGGATGAGGGTGGGCAGCTGCTTGGTGAGGGGCGAGGTGCTGACCTTGTACCTGTGGCAGGGAGAGGCCAACAGTGACCCTCAGGCAGGTGGGGGGCTCCCAGGGACTCTGCCCCAGCACTTGCCCTGCCACCCATACCTGGTGCTGACGTCCGTGTACCGGCCGACATCCACCTTCCCAAAGTGCAGCCCCGAGCAGTTGTACCTAGGGAGGATTGGGACACGCGGCTGTGAGTGCCCTGTGAGTGTCACAAGAGCCCTGGCCCCACCACTCGTTGGGGCCACACAGGCACCACGCACTTAAGAGAGAGGTCGGCAAAGATGGGGGCGAATGACTGGCACTCGCTGGACCAGTTGGCAAAGAACTCGACGATCCAGGTCACCCGCTTGTCCCGGTCCAGCTCCTCCTACCACAGGGACACAGTACTCAGTGTGGAAGGGGCAGGCAGAGCCCCCTGCACCATGGGGAGGGGATACTCACATCTATGGTCTTGTCACTGAAATACTTGATGTACTCGGGGCCCATGTAGAGCGGGGGCTTGCAGGTCATCAGGAACACTGCAACGACAGAGCCCTGAGCCCCCCGCAGTGCCTGGAAGGGCCAGGCAGGGTTTGGGATGAGGTTCCTCCCTCCCCAGAGCAGCCTGGGGAGCCAAGGCAGAGCAAGCTGTGGGTCAGGTACTTCCCTTCCCTATCAAGGTGCTTCCTGAGGCCCCCCTTGTCCACGGGGCTCCTGACACCTGCAGCCTTCCCCTACATTGAAAGGCACAAGCCAGACCCGCAGCAAGAGCTCGCTCCAGCCCTTCCAGCAGGGTGGTGTGGAGGACAAGCAGGAACAGTGGGTGCTGAGGACCTGGGGGCACCACTGCTGCCCCCATACTATGGACACCCCCCCCCCCCAGCAGGTCTCACCGATGCAGAGTGTGAGGTAGAGCAGACCCATCCGGATGTCGAGGCGGAAGAAGAGGATGGCATTTGCTACCTTGCTGAACATGAAAATGTTCCCAATGTGCTGCTCCACCGTGACTGGGAAAGGGAGAGAGGAACAGACGATGGGGCCAGATCCCACCAGGAGCTGGGGAGTTTGGGAGTGGGGACCAGATGTGGTCCTCCGGAACCCAACCAGCCTCCCCCCCGCACAGGCCCCGGCTCACTGGAGCGTCGGTTCTTCATCATGACGATGGCGCTGAGGAACATGAGGATCTCCACCTCGCGCTGGGACGGGAGAGACGCCGTGAGCGGGAGGCGCCCTTGGGCCTCTGCAGCCGCAGAGCCCGGGAGTGGCCGCCCGCAGCCGCAGCGGAGAAGCTCCTGCCCCGCAGGGCACAGAGACGAGGCCCCGCAGCGCTGCCCGCTCCCTGCCTCTCCCGGAGCCGGGGGTGCCCCTGCACCGACGGGCACCGCTCCCCCCCCCAGCGAGCGCCGGGGCATCCCTATGGGGCTGCTCGCCCCCCGCCAGCGGGCCGGGCCGCGCCGCCTCACCCAGTCGAAGTCGCAGGGGTTCCCATCCTCGCGCTGTGAGGGCAGCCCGCGGCAGAGCGGCGGCACCTTGCGCACGAGCAGGAAGGCGGCGGCGAGCAGCGCGGACAGCGGGTAGTACGGGCGGGCGAGCCAGCGGCACAGCGCGGGCACGGCCGACAGCAGCGCCAGCACCGGCGCCAGCACCGCCATCTTGCCCGGCGCCACGGCCAATGGCGAGCCGCGCCGCCGCGCTAGCCGGACGCCGGCATGCCAATGAGGAAGGAAGAGAGGAGAGACCAATCAAAGGGCTCGGACTGAGTGTCTCTTAGCAACCGGGGCGGTGGGCGGGGCCTGAGCGGCGCTCGGCCAATCGCGGGGAGGCGGAGCGGCCCCGCGCGGGGCACGCCGGGAACATGGAGAACTTCTCGGCGCTGTTCGGCGGGGCCGAGCCGCCGCCCGCTGCCGCCGCCGCCGCCGCGCTGGGCTTCGGGCCGGCCAAAGCGCCTGGCGCCGGGGCCGCGCCGCCCCCCGCTGCCGCTGCGCCGCCGCCGGGCGAGGACGCGGCCCGCAAGGCCGCCGCCGGCCCCTTCTACCTGCTGCGGGAGCTGCCAGGTGCGGGGCGGGACCGCGGGCCGGGGGCGGGCGCCGCGCTGGGCCAATCGGCGGGGCGGGACGAGGGTGCGGCGGTGACTGGCTGAGCGACGGGCCAATGAGGGACAGGGTGGTGGACGAGGAGGTGCAAACGGACCAATCGCCGTGAAGGGGGCGGGGCCAAGCGGTTCTGCCCGGGTGGGGAAGTGGGGCCTTGCGGGGCCGCGGTCCCGGGGCCGGGGGGGGGGAGCGGGGCCGGGCCGGGCCGGGGGGGGGCGGGGGCAGCACCTTCCCCATCCCCTTCTGCGGCGCCGGCGCAGGCACGACGGAGCTGACGGGCAGCACGAACCTGATCACGCACTACAACCTGGAGCACGCCTACAACAAGTTCTGCGGCAAGAAGGTGAAAGAGAAGCTCAGCAACTTCCTGCCCGACCTGCCCGGCATGATCGACCTGCCCGGCTCGCACGACAACAGCAGCCTCCGCTCCCTCATCGAGAAGCCCCCGATCTGCGGCAGCTCCTTTACCCCCCTCACCAGCACCATGCTCACGGGGTTCCGCCTCCACGCCGGCCCGGTGAGCACGGGGCCCGGAGCCGGGGGCGGCCGCTGGGGCCGGAGGGGCCCGGCCTGGCCTAACCCGCCCCGTCTGTCCCGCAGCTGCCCGAGCAGTGCCGGCTCATGCACATCCAGCCACCCAAGAAGAAGAACAAGCACAAGCACAAGCAAAGCCGCACGCAGGATCCCGTTCCCCCAGGTACGGGGCTGCGGGCACAGCCACCCCTTCCCCATTGCGTCAGCCCGGGGGCACCCGCTCACCCCCATCTTGTTTCTCCAGAAACCCCCTCAGACTCCGACCACAAGAAGAAGAAGAAGAAAAAAGAGGAGGACCCTGAGCGGAAGAGGAAGAAGAAAGAGAAGAAGAAAAAGAAGGTGGGGGGGGGAAGCTGGGGCAGGGTCCCCCTGTGGCCGTCGCAGGGGCCGTTCCCTGGGGCACTGCTGTGGAGTGGGAGGCCTCACCGGACCCTGTCTGTCCTTCCTCTGCAGAACCGGCACAGCCCGGAGCACCCGAGCGTGGGCAGCTCCCAGGCCAGCGGAAGCTTGCGGTGAGGCCACGGAGCCCTGGCCGCCAGGAAGGGCCCCAGCTGAGCTGGGAGGACTCATCCCTCCCGCAGCGCTCGGGGCGGCCTGACCCCCCTGGCAGAGAGGACAGCCCCAGCCTGCGGGACCAGGGGACACGGACTCTGCTGGTGCCGGGGCTGCGGCCTCGGCCTTTTATACCCAAAGAACCCAGGGCATCGGGGCCTCTCTTTTTTAGTCACCTTTTAATTAAAGTGTCTGCTCTGAGGGGCTGGTGGCCGTGGCTGCTGCAACCCTCGGCTGTCAGTGCGGGGCGAGGAGCCGAGACCGAGGAGCCCAGGGGCCACACGGGATCGGCACTGCCCCAGCACAAGGATCCTGGCTGAGCCCCTGCTCCAGCTCTGAGCCCGTATCCTGCTGAAGCAGGGGCAAGGGGGGCTCCTACGTTGGCTTTGGTGGCCGCTCTGCACCAAGGGGCTCTGTGCCCGCTGCCCCTTGCTGCCCAGGGCAGGAGTGACCCCGTGTGGAAGCAGCCACTGGTGGAGCAGCCGATGCTGCTGCCGTGGGCAGTGGGAGCTCCAGCAGCAGCCACACAGCGATGCCAAGGTTCTCCTGTCCTCTCCCCGACGCCCTGTGCAGGACCCTGAACCTCACCTGCTCCTGTGACACCTTCCCCAAAGCCGCCCCCCTCGCGCTGGGAACACTCACCTTCGGGGGGGGGGGGGGGGGGGGGGTCTGCCCATAAAAAGCCCGAGGAGGAGCAGGGCTCAGCTCCACGTGGGCCCTGCACGGCGATGGGGGGGGGATGCTGAGATCCCACGGGACGGGCCCCTCGAGGAACGCTGAACAAATCACACACTCGGCTGCATCATTAAATAGCCTTTTATTCCTCGTTTTTAAAATGGGTAATCGATAAAAACCAATGGCCTGGCCCCGCGTGGCCACGGGGCAGGTATTGCGGCGAGGAGTCCCGTAGTGCCTCAAGTGCGTGGGCTCGGCGTGGGGGGAGCGCGGGCTCCTTGGCTGCGGGTGGGTTTTGGCATGTGATGAGGAAATATTGCTTCAGGGATGCACCTAGCGGTCACAAACCCGCGTGTGACAGCGAGAGTCCCGCCAGCCCCACGGCACAGACCGCCCCGACCACACAAACCTGGGCACACAGAGCAGGAGCTGCAGTGGGGTCTGCAGCTGCACCAGCCCCTGTCCGTGCACTGGGGCCGGGACTGCCCCTCGACCCTTCCTCCTCCTCACAGCCCCGGGGCTGGCGCTTCACAGGCGAAGAGCCGGGGAGGAGCATGTCCGAGTGTCTGCAGCCCCGCAGCTCCAGCATCGGCACAGGAGGCGGCAGCAGCCCCACATCCCTGCTCCGGGGCCGGAGCCCTGGCCCTGCACAGGGAACGAGTTGTTCTTCCTCTCTCTGGGTAAGATAATATAATTTCTGCTTCTTTTTTGAATATTTATATTTATAGATATAGATATTTCTATGTACACACACCCCGAAACTCAGAAAGAGAAAAAAAATAGAATCCGTAACAATAATCATAAAAAAAAGTGTTCTGCTTTAAAAACTCCGTTCCCGCGGCATGAGGCCATTGCACGAGCCCCGGCGGGGGTGGGAGGAGCAGTGGAGCCGGTGCCCCCGGTGCCCGCAGCGTCCAGGTGCGGGACGAGCCCCAGTGCCCGCAGGACGGGCTGAGCAGTGCCGGCTCACACCGAGATCTCATAGGTGGTGCCCCCCACGCCAGAGACCTTCTTGACACCTCCACGCGTGGGGCTGCTGAGCGGCACCGGCCCCGCGCCCGCAGGCACCGGGCCCAGGCTCTTTGGCTGCCCGTTGGATTTGCTGTGGGCTCCTCGCATCTGCACCTCGTCCCTGTGGGGGAGGATGGAGGACACGGGGTGAGGAGGAGGAGGGAGCGGGCACCACGGGATGGGGTGGGGGTAAGGACAAGCGTGTGCACCAATGGGAGGGCCCCAGAACCCAGCGCAGCCACAGCCCTCCCCCAGCACCTCCAGCCCCCCAGCATGTCTCCAGCTCCCCAGGAGGCTGGGGGGAGGTCCCAGGTGGGCACAAGCTCTGTTCTGGAGGAGGAGGAAGATTCCCCTCCATTGCGTGCAGCATCGCTCCCCATGAGGGGCTCGTCACTGCCCGGGTGCTGATGCAGTGGGAGGGGCCACGCCAGGCAGGGAGGGGGACACAACCGAGGCAGGGGAAAGGGGGAAGATGCGGTGGTCCCCAGCTTCCCCCCAGGGCAAAGGTCCCGCTGAGCGCTGTGTGCACGGCTCGGTACTCACTTGGGTGGCAGCAAGGGCTGCAAGGCCACCTCCTCCGCCTCGGGGACGCCGGCCTGAGGGGCTGGTTTTTGGCTGCTGTAGGACACGGACTTGCCGAGGTGGGGGGCTCGGGGCTGCTCGGGGGAGCCCAGGGAGCGCGCCCGCAGCGCGCCGGGGGGCTCGGGCTTGCCGAAGCGCGGCAGGGCCGGGCGCGGGAGTGGGTTCTTGCCCAGGGGCGAGCGCTTGGAATCGTCCAAGGAGCTGCTGGAGCGCAGCGGCGACTGCACCCCGGCGGCCACTGGCCCCGTGTCGTCCTCCCGGCCCGTGGCCGGCGGCTGCTGCAGCAGCTTCTCCCGCTCCTGGATGGAGGCCACGATGTGGCGGGACAGATTGTCATAGCGCACGGGCGAGGGCTCGCGGGGCGGCGCGGTGCCGCCGAAGCGGCCGTGCAGGTCGGTCTCTCGCTGCTGCGCGATGCGAGCTGACAGGAAGGGCGACGTGTATCCCACCGGTGCCTCCGGCTCCGGGCCCGCCTGCACTGACTCGAAGTCAGGGCTGTCGGAGGGCGTGAGGAGGCTGTCGTACGAGAGGCTGCCGTTGCGCGTCTGATTCACCAGGCTCTTGTAGGAGGTGGAGGTGGTGCCCTCGGAGCGGATGGACTGGAGGTGGCCCAGTTCGAAGCCCGTGCCCTGCGCTGACTTGAGGCTGGAGGAGCGGGAGCCGCTGGAGAGGGGGTCGAAGTGGAAGCTCTTGCTGAAGGTAGGCGAGCGGAAGCTCTCGGGCTCCAGGCTGGGTTCCGAGCGGTAGCTGGGCTTGTGGCCGCTCTCGCCGATGGAGTTGGGCTCCTTCAGGCTGTTCACTCGGCTCAGCTGCAGGACACAGACGCAGCCATCACCACACAGGGGCCCCTGCGGAGCTGCTGGTGCCCACCCCGAGCCCCCCAGCCTGGAGCGTGGTGGCAGCCCCAGGGGCCGGGTCTCCCCTTACCTTGGCACTGGTGGAGTGGGGCAAGGCTGCTGAGCTGCTGCTGCTGCTATAGCCGGGTCGGTACTTGTACATGGTGGGGGTCGGGGGGCTGTCCTTGCCTAGCAAGCTACTGTCTGCAGGAGAGCAAGAGGAGGATGCTCAGACTCACAGGGAACACGTGCGGGGCCTTCCCAGCCCTCCCCAAGAACCGGCTCTGAGCCTGGGGCACACAGACCAGGGGTGGAAGCAGAGAAGGGATGGGCAGGAGGAGAGGGGCAATGGGGCAAGAGGAACGGAGTGCGATGGAGAACGTGTCCCCATAACAAGGGGTTTGGGGCTGGCACCTTCCCGGGCCGGGTGACCTCTGGGCCCCATGGGTGCCTGGGCCTGTTGCCCCATTGGCTACAGCCGTTCTCCAGGCAGCAGGGCCAGATGGGGACAGGGAGAGCTGCAGGAAGCAGCCGCTCCCGAGCTCTGCCCTCAACATCCCACCTCTCGCCAAGCCCTCGCAGCAGCAGCAGTGGTCACAGCAAGTCTCAGGCTGCCACACGCGCTCTGCCACCAAGCCAGGCCTGACCCTCCTGTGCCTCCTCCATCCCAGTGATGCTCCCGCACGGCACCGCTGCGGCCGCTCGCATCCCGTGGCTTCTCCAGGCATGAGGGGCCACATCCAGCAGCCCGGGGGCACGGGCACGTCCTGCCCACAGTGCGGCGGCGCGTCGGGGCTGCCCTGCAGCCTGGTCCACCTACGGCCCTGGCTCCTGCTCTGCCTGGTGCAGCCGTGGGCTCTCTCTCAGGGGCTGCCCGGGACTCTGACACCTTCCTTACCCTCGGTGGTGGCCAGGGTTAAGTGTGTCCTCAGGCCCGTGTAGCGGCTGAGGTCTGGCTTAGGGGGGGGTGGCGGCTCGGCGTCAGCAGACTGGCTCTCGGTCACCTCCAGGCTTCCTTTGGACTGCAGAGACAAAGCGCAGAGGGGGTCAGGGGGGGGCCGAGGCCTCAGCCCTCCCCTTGCAGACAGGGAGTGAGTGGGCAGCAGCGCTACGGGGGCTCCCGCTGCCACTGGTGCTTGGAGGTGCCTCGAGTGCTGCAAGTGCTGAGCGGAACCACCAGAGAACACTGCTGGGGGGAACAGGGTGGGGAAGGCCAACGGAGGGGGCAAAGCCTCATGTGGCTGCTGCCGCATGGGTGGAACACAGCTTCTGTCCCGTGGGGACACAGACCAGGACAACACGGAGGAGGACGGGGACGTGACAAGGCTCACTCGGTTCTTTACTCACGGATGCAGGCTCGCACCCCTGGGCTCCGCAGAGGGCCCCAGCGCAGGGAGTGCTGTTCCCCACCCTCCTCACCTTCGTCCTCTTCAGCTCTGACTGGATACCATTGTCCACGATCTTGACCGTGATCTGACCGTCTGACACCCCGGGGCGCAGGAAGGGGGGTCTCACCAGCACCGTCTGCTCGGCCCTCAGCCGCCCAAGGTACCTGGGAAGGGGGCGGGAGGAAGGTCAGGGCAGGGCTAAGGCAGGGATGGAGCAGGGCTGGGGCAGGGCCGGGCTCACCTGGGGGCTGGGGAGCTGCAGAGGACCCGGCTCACGTTCTTACAGCAACCGTTGGTGAAGGGGTTGACACCACCACGGAACTTGCCCGTAACCTACAGGGTGAGGAGCAGAGTGCAGTGTAACCAAGGATAAGAGAGCAGTGTAACCGAGGAGCAGAGTTTAGTGTAACCGAGGAGTAGAGCATAGTGTAACCAAGGATAAGAGAGCAGTGTAACCGAGGAACAGACTGCAGCGTAACCAAGGAGCAGAGCGCAGCGTAACCGGGGAGCAGAGCGCAGCGTAACCGGGGAGCAGAGCGCAGCGTAACCCGGGAGCAGAGCGCAGCGTAACCGGGGAGCAGAGCGCAGCGTAACCCAGGAGCAGAGCGCAGCGTAACCCAGGAGCAGAGTGCAGTGAACCGAGGAACAACCTAATCCCAACCCCTGCAGCCCCCCCACAGCTGTACCTGCTCGTTGGTGGTGCGGCCCC